GAATGACAACACACCCACTCAAACTAACTAAATCATCTGACAGAGAAATGTTTGTTCTATGAGCTAGTGTAGTCAGATTTCGTGGGTGTGTGGTCATTCAAGAGAAATCGACGTACAAAGTCATTATTTACGTTTCGAGTTAACCCTTCTGATGTGTTTCCCCTATCTATATGCTTTGAAATCAAAAACTTATACGTCAAAACTGGTGTGGGAATGTACTAAACTATTACAGCAACTGTCCTGTCGAAATACGGTTTACCTTAATTGGGTTCCTAGTCATTGTGGAATCGAAGGAAACGAAAAAGCTGATCAATTGGAAAAAAAAATTGGAGCTAAAAAACTGGGCAAAGCAAAGGCACAGTACCACTGGACCAGTACCTTAGATTTTCGGTAATCTTAACGTTTTATAAAGCCATACACGAACATTACTTAAGCTTTCTAAAAAAGATGTGAGTACTGGTTTGATAACAGGACACTGTCCTTATAAACATCACCTTAAAAACATTGGTAAACTTCATGAAGATAAATGTCGCTTTTGTAACTTAAAGAGTGAAAGCTCTGAACATTTGCTGTGTGGCTGTGTTGCACTCAGTGACGTTTCCTTAACCTCAATCTAGCTGTGCACCAACTCTCAAAACAAACAATATTTTTTTATAATATTTTTATATTATCAAAATATTGCTTTCAATGGATATAAATCCAGTAAACTAGAAGATTAAGTGTATTTTTCAACCGATTCGAGTATTGGCATTAAATCTGGTTTTGAAAGTGCACAGGTAAAAAGTGAGGTTACGGGACGCCACTGGTAACACTATTTCATAAACGATGCAGATATCTTCGTAAGGGTCTGATGAGACCTTGAGAAATCTGCACTCATAAAATAAATCACATAACCAGTGGAAAATATCCATGTGAATTTCACATAACTTTCTTGTGATCCCATAATCGGAAATTGCACCACTAAATCACATGAACGTTATGTGTCCAATGAAATCTATATGATTTCTCATATAGAATTTCTAATGCTATGTGATATTCAGGTAAAAATTTTTGTTTTTGGAAAAATACTATGGGTGTTCCTTAGACCTGTTCATTTTAAACGAAATGTTCCAAATGTAACGGGTCAACCGTGATTACTGTTCGTCATGTTAATTTGTACTTCTGTGTAAATTTTCAGCAAAATCGATGATGATTTAGAGGTGCTTCAAGTTAATTTTATGTTTTTAAGGTAATTTACGGCTTACAATATTTGTATCTCGAGACTGAAATAACGAAAACTGCTGTAACAACTTTCATAGCAAAGTTTAATGTGTCATGTATCAACTTTGTAACCAAAGGTTGACTATTCGAAGTGATTTTATTAAAGTTTGACTTAGTTTCATGCTCGAAGATATCTTAAAAAGTGAAGAATTTTAAAGTATTTGTTCTACAAATTTTCCACCCATATGATATAAAATGTGTAGTCTACGGCATAATGTTCCTCATATTGTTCTAGAATTTTCGTTCAAACATAGTTTTCGTGTATATTTCATAGATTGAGAAATAAAAATCAGAAAAGAGGCCGTTTAGCTAAAATGCACAAGACAACAGAGCCAATAAAAGTCAATTAGATTGACAGAACATAGTTGCATTGCTTTTCAATGACGACCGATGACTGTTTCATTGATATATGATTTTTTCATAAATATAAATCCTCAGTAGACGTGTTTTTTTTATCAAAGGCAAGTGTCACTCGAACCATAACAGCAATTTATAAAATAACGAACTTCAATAAAATCACTTCGAATAGTCAACCTTTGGTTACAAAGTTGATACATGACACATTAAACTTTGCTATGAAAGTTGTTACAGCAGTTTTCGTTATTTCAGTCTCGAGATACAAATATTGTAAGCCGTAAATTACCTTAAAAACATAAAATTAACTTGAAGCACCTCTAAATCATCATCGATTTTGCTGAAAATTTGCACAAAAGTTCAAATTAACATGACGAACAGTAATCACGGTTGACCCGTTACATTCCGAACATTTCGTTTAAAATGAACAGGTCTAGTGTTCCTAATAGAAACTAAGTGAAAACTTTTTTCAGTGTAAGCTGCTGCCCCCAATCAGGTAATCACCCCTATTCTGTATTTCGTTTCGAACGAAATTCTCATACAAAAAATATTTTTTTGTATGAGAATTTCGTTCGAAACGAAATACAGAATAGGGGTGAATAAATTTAATAAGAAATGTTTTACCTTGTTGGGATAATTGCTTACAACAGTAGTGGTAGTTACTGAAACATTAGTGGCTTACCACTACGTTATGGCATAAATAAAAATAGGATACACCACAATGGATCAAAGTAAAAGTCGCGGTGGTAACATAGAGGTAACTCTAAGACAAGTAGGTCCTGAAAAAAGGTGCTCCACTTTTTGGCTCAGCTCTGGTACTATCTTCGGTCCCAAGCTAGTCGAATCACCCCTCGAAACATGGGAAAATCCAATAACCCCTCATTTTATCTGTCAAACTTTCATAGCGAATCAAAACAAACATTGTGTAGTAGTAGAATTTCGACTACAATAGGGTACGTTAAACGTTTGCTTGGGACCAATAGGCTAGTCAAGTAGTGAGCCAATTTAAAATCGTTAGTTTCGTAATGATTGTTGGTGGTACTATGTCCCCAACATAGGAAAAACAAAAGGCAGCTATGGAAACGCAATATTAAAACGAATGAATACTCCAAGACATTAGAAAAAAATGCCTATTTATTATGTAGCTACGCCTATTTACTGTCCTGTCATGTTTTTTTTTATACAGAGGAGCGGAGCGACGGGCTAGCGTCTAGAATGAGAGCTTTCAGAAGAACCTTAAAAATCGATTTTTTTTTCCGGTACAACAATTTAACAGTAAATTTTAATGCACTCGAAATTCAACAGTAAGAATCATTGTAATTTCGTAGTTTTAATTAATTTATTTTTTCAAGAACTTTTCCTTATAATATTCACTTCGCCTCTGACTAAAAAGCACTGGCAGGCACCGAACAATCAATATGAAACTAACGATTGAAAATTGGCTCATAACTTGACTAGCCCATTGGTCCGAACTACATCTATAAGCGTATCGCATTAATGTACTAGAATCTGTCAAAGTTTGTGCTTGTTTTGATTCACCTTTGTAAGTTGACAGAGTAAATTAGGTGTTCGTGGATTTTCCTATGTTTCGAGGGGTGCTATGGTAAATCTGAGTAGCTACGCAGTAGAGGAGCATTTTAAATTTTTTCAATGTTACAAAAACCATTTTCTCGTTTATTAAAAGAAATAAAGTCATCTAATTCTTCAAAATAATAAACTTCTGATTATACCAACTCAACTTGGGACCCCTCGCCCCAAAGTAGCACCATCAGAAGCAACTACCTATCAGTGCTCTCATTGCTCTGCATGGTATTTTTTTTCGCCTAACCATTTAGTCGAAGGAATGACAGGGTACATCGCTCCAGCTTGTACCTAGATCTGTCGTGTGGTGTGGTAGTGAAGTGTGTGGATAGCGGCGGGTGGTGGGTTAACGTGAAGGCGGAGGTGGTGGCAGCAGTTTTCGAATGTGATACACTTAACATCGGCCGAGCGCAATGAACACTGACTTCTATGATATCACACCAACATAGGGATGTTCGCTAGTGGTGGTGTGTTTGTCGGCGAATTCTTCGCTCGACGCCGATATCCGATGCAAACATTTCACAACTACAATAGTACTGTTCCACTGTTTCCGAATAGGAGCTGAAGCTGCTGTACCATTGAACCGTAGACACACGAACACTAGTGCGGTACGTTCGTGTGTCGGTGTGTTGGCAGCGCTTTGGTCGGATAATAATTATTGAATTGAAAGTTTTTTTTTCGCCACACTCGTCTCTGAAAGAGGTACAGAGAAACAATGATGTCGGCGTATGTTTTAATTTTAATTGTGAATTGAAAAATTGAACTAACCATTTTGCGACCAAAAGTCGTCTGAAATCGGTTGAAACTATTGCAAAAAGTGAACTTAGTGGATTGTGTACCCGGGAACGATGGAATTTGGTCGATTTGGGCCCGGAATCGATCGGAAAAGTGATGATGAAAATTAATCAATGAGACACCAGTCGAAAGTTCTTCTCATTCGCCATCATTCGGGGTATGTTAATGGTGGAGCAAAAGGCAAAGTATAAGCGAGGAAAAAATCAGTGTTCGTTCGTTCCGAACGTGAAATCGCATTTTATGTAGGTGCAGTTTATAGTGCTTGGTTGGCTGGTTGGTTGGTGGCTACGTTCAAAATTATCATTGATTTTTCACGATTACGGTTTGCCCAGTGATGTGTGCTGATGGTGTTCATTGAAGTTGTATCTTTATGAAAATCGCTTATCAATGTACATTTTTCAAAAATTCGATTACCCCGATTCCTATCACATCAAAACAGACCCGTCAAAATATTTAGTATAAAATACATGAACAAATTTCGCTGTTTCTTTTCTCATGACATTCGCTGTCAGTTTTGTGTAGGTTTTCAGATTTTTTTGTTTTCATACAATTTTGCTTCGCATAAGCTAAGAAGACGATACTCATGATGTACTCAGACGATGTTGGTGGAGAAAAATTCCTTCGTCACTCGACGAGAAAATCGATTGCATGCGGGTGACATTTTTAATTGGAAAAGTGAGTTTTGAGGTTAGAATCATCTAGAATTGTCTCGAGAGCCAACGCGACACGACATGAGCAAGCCGAGAGAGAAAAGTGTGCTTTTGAAAATCATAAACCTTTATATGCGTTCGTCTCTGCTCGCCGTTGGTATAATATGTACGGAAGAATCGAGCAATAAGAATAATAAGTAGCAGAAGGAAACCTACCAGTTTCAAGAGTGCAGAAGGTGGAAGTGAATGATAGCGAGAAAGACGACGAAGAAACCTTTGGAAGGCAAAAGAAAAAAAAAATCACTATAAATGAGTAAACCAGAGACGAAGCGCGGCGGCTATGGGCCCAAAGTGCTTTTCTTAAGTGATTGTGTATAGTGATGAAGTTGAGCTTCTTTACTAGCTGCTCATCTCGATGGAGCTAGAAAACATGCAAAATAAGAAGAAAGAGCAAAGCGCAAGCCCAAATGGCCGAAGAATAACAACAATAACATTAATGAAACGATGAAAACGTGAAAACAGTACCTACTACCACTATTCGCCGATTACGATGGGGAAAAGATGGAACTCCTAAAGAGCCCGTGTGTGTAGTGGGCATAGAAGCCAAATGCAGGAACAAAATTTCGAACGGTGTGTTGTGGAAAAGAAACAGCCAGTAAACAAGAGAAGTGTAGGAAGCAAAGCAGAAGAATACCAAATGTGAACAGACAGAGTAGCACAAAAATAATGGACCGCAATTTTACAATCGTAACATGGAATCATTCGAAACTTGCTCGGAAGCCGCAATACGAAGCGCATGTACTACATATGTACGAAGGGGGCATCATCTAGAGAGCGCACTAGCAATAAGCTATTATTTGGAAGAGATTCCATTTTGTGAAATCAAATGTATGCGATTAGTTGGAGTGATGGCAGATTGACGTGTGAGTTATAGATTTCGATGTTGATGGGAGCGCACTGTTAGCAGTGGACTACATATATGCACGCATGAAAGATCCATATGTGTGTTGGAAGGAGTTCGATTATGATGTGATGTGTCCTAGACGAGAAATAATTGTCACGGTTATATGTGTTGTTTTAAACATGATAAATGTTTCTTTCGATATTGGGTAGATCTTCCAATAATAGTGGTGTTTCTATAGTAACAATATGGAGGGTTTGGTCGGATTAATGGTGAAAAATCCGATATTGTCGCTACAGTTGACAACTGCAATAATCCGCTAGCAAAAATTGATTTTACTCTGATTCTATACGAAGTAGTGCGAATTATAGCGCATCATCGTAGGATTTCAGCGCACTTCTTCCGACACTATGTATAACGTATAGAACAAGAGTAAAATCGATTTTCACTAGTGGATTGTTTCAATTTTCAGCTGTAACGACAATACATTTACAAATAAAGGTAGATTTACACATTTATATCTTCACATTACTCCAAAAAAATTACCGAACACGATTTATTTTCTTAAAGATGTTGACTCCATTGCACTTTAAGTTGCGGTAGTGTCAGGGCTGATTAGGGAGGATCACTTTTTAGTGACTTTGTCACTTTTTTTATGGTGGTCACTAAAAAGTCCCTATTTTCGACAAAAAGTCACTAAAGTCACTTTTTTCGCCATTCTCGCTTGAATTGCAATGTAAAATTCGTTAAAAAAAATAAATAAAAATTGTTACAGTACTACAGTATGCTTAGTTCTTAGTTGGAAGTTCATTAAACTAGCGAACGAAAAAGTACGCAGAAGAAACCAAGACGATACATCATCAAAGCACACTTTTATTTGTGATTTCGTACCTTTGAGGAGTCCAGTTTCAACTGCAAAAGTAAATAATCAGAGAAATCGAGATAACCGGAAAATACCGGAAATGTGTTGTCACCGGGATAAACTCGTGAACTTCGATGCCAAATTGAAATAAAATGTGCTTCTTCCTCTTTTTAAAAAATCTCAAGACCCTTGGAGTGCACTAGATTTTCAGGGTACAGTTACTTTCAAGAACTATTAATTTTAGCATAGATTCTAGAGATATACGAGGGCTATGACTAGAGCTTCAAGTCAATTGTGTGGGATCAGTGTTTTTTTTAAGTTGCTCTGTGAAACATTTCTTGGGTACAAATTGAACTAGGAACTACTTAGAAAGCATTTCCAGATAAAATTAAGGAGAACTCCATGTGAATTTTTAGTAGAACTTAGAGGAGAACTCCAAAACAATTGAGATAAAAAAAGTTATGAGAACTCAGAGGTGAACAGCATGGAATTTTCAAAGAAGAGGAATTCTTTAAAAAGTTTATAATTCAAAGAGAATCTATGGACGAATTTCATGACTTTTTTAGTGTTCTTCAGAGAATTTCTGCACTGTTATAAAGAAAATTCGCGGCACTCCCAGAGAAAAACTCGAATTTATTTTAGAAGAATTCTATAAAGAACTTTATAAGGGGTAATTCTTTTGAAATAAATACTTGAACTCAAATATAATCCTGTTAAGGTCTGTAAAGCTTCTCTGGAACTCTAAATACGGTAAATTGGAATTTACAATTTCAATATAATATTCGTTACAAAAAATATAAGAAACTTATTGTTACTAAAATCAAAAACTTCATCAAAAAGTAGCTTTTGGTTTTATATATAGTTAATCTACTGATTGGTCTAAGTTAAATTTGAATCCAGAGATCATCAAGTTCATGTACCTGATGAGTTTAAATTTTTATTCTTGTCAATGGCCAAACAATTTTAACCCTTGGATCATTTTCGTCAATGTCCTAGAACTCTATTTGTGTAGGTAATTCTAAGTAGAATTCCAAGGCAACCTTGAATAGGATTCAATACAAAATTTAATGAAAATTCATAACAGCTTTTGACGTTAATTCTTAAGGAATTATGAGAAAATTTGAACGAGAAGGAGGATTACAACATGATCATTCTGAGGAGAACTTCAAGATAATACAAAAGAGAAATCTAAGAATATTCTAAGGTCATTTTAGAGAAGATTCTGGGACAAAAGGAATCCGGAGCATATTTCCATGTGAGTTTTCGGAGAATTCATAGAAGGTATACAATTAAATATGAGTATTATTCCTATCGAACCTCAAATGAGTTCGGGTAAAAATTCCAAGAGGGTTCTGACAAATTTTGTGGAGAAATCTAAGAAGAACTGCAAGTCATTTTTTAGGTGAGAATTTCATAATTGTGAGATGAATTCCAAGGAAACGAGCAATATTCAATGGTTATTCTAAAATATGTATATTCAATGAGAATTTCTTAGAAATATCCTAAGAAAATTCTGAGCTAAATTTCAAGTGGATTTCGAGGAGTAATCTAAGGATATTCCGATGTTTTTTTGCAGAGATTTGCAGCATTTCGAAGAATTTTTGGGATTTCCTAGCAGAACTAAAAAATTATTCCCAAGATAGTTCCATGGCAATTACAGGATAATATTAAGTAAATTCTTAGGTGAACTCGAAGAGAATTTTCAGGGGAATTCTACAGGAGAATTCTTCAGGTAATTCCTAGCAAGAATTATTAATAATGTAATGAGCATTGCAAAGTTAATTAAAACTGTTTTCGAAAGATGTTGTAATATTTTGTACGTTTAAGCTCTATGACCCTTTCCTTCCCACGGTAGCACCGGGGATCTATAGGTTTTTGGTCCGTCTTACGATTAGCATTACAGCTTAAATTAGTCAGCATTGATTTAAGTTTCTCTTGTGCTCAATATTCCCCTTTATATATTTATCTCACATGTTTCTAGAAGGTTTACCAAAAAAAATCACGGCAGAACTATGATTTGTAAATTTCCCGCATCTTGCAGTTCTTTTTGTAGAATCATTTATCTGATATCTGTATTGAAAACTTTCTTATTTCCAAAAATTTAAGATTATTTGTAAGCCTGTCAAATGTCAAATGATCCAAAATCTCGTCAGGGATCTTGTGAATTGAAGTTCAAGGATTTTATGAATTCCTGGTATCTTGCACAAACAATTTCGATCACTTATGTCTTATTATATTTTTTAGGTTATAAATTTAAAGGTTGAACACGAAAAAAAAAATACGGACACATTAAAAATGTTGCCATAACATTCATTTGTTGAGATTTTTTTTCAGTAATTCAAAAATTTGATCTGGTAATTTATATCATTTAATATTTTAAAACGCTATCTCGACGTTTCATTCCTCATTTCGGAAATAATTCTATTAATAAGGCAATGTCTTATTATTAGGTAACTAAGCAAACGCGGAGCACCTTGGTGATGCAAGTTTGCAGATCGCATAGAGATCATCATAGTTCATATCTAAAAAGCGTGACCTGTTAGAGAATAGATTTATTCTAGATTTTAATTCAGGAGACCATAAGAATTTCAAATATGGTAAAATATCTCTGTTATTGAAAGTCGTGTTATACAGTGGTGTTAGTTTTTAATCTAGTTGTGCAAGATCTTGCAATGTAAACTTTAGACAAATGCGTACAGATACGAAATCAATGACTACCTGAAAGTTTTCTGATAATGTTTAAGTCACATTTTGGTAACGTTTTAAAATGATGTTAGTCACTTTTTAGTCACTTTTTAAAATTATTTTAGTCACTAATTCACTATTTTTATTGCTTAACAATACTATCAGCCCTGGGTAGTGTTCATATAAAAATTAAATTTAATCATTTGATTTGTGTCCAGTGTGATCCTGGGCACTTGATAAAACCATCATTGGACTTGTTTTTGGATTCTCATGTGATTTGAGGTGTCGCAGGAAATCAGAAACAAGGTTTTTTTTTATATTTTATTTAAGGTGATTTTAGCCACTTCTGTCCTAGTTCATCACCATAGTCATAAACAGGCCACTTCCCCTGGGGTATCCGGAACATGACCGGATGTGGTGTGTTTTGGTCCAAGTCAGAAATTGGCCACTTCTCCCGGTGGTACATGTCAGGATGTGGCTAATTTGGTCCTTGATGCTTAATATGACCACCACTAATTTTTTTTTTGAATTCACATATGGATACGGATCGTGAGATCGGCCTGGATCGTGTTAAACTATATCTCCGGATCAAGTTGAGCGATTCCAAAAAGTATTCAACATCGTTTTATGGGAGCACAATACCTTCCATTTGGTGGTTGTGGCGTCTAATTTGGTTTAGTTGTTGCTGAGAAACATGACCTACTTTATTTCGTCAATAACGCACATTTTCAGATCTCGTCGAGCTGAGTCATTAATATCAACCAACAATGCCGCCAACAAACTAATATAAAGGTCGGAAGCTCTATGTAAACCTTATATTGTAAAAAATACGAATAGTGGTTGTTGATTACTTGGGGTGTCATCAAAATACATGGGAAGTTTAGAGATTGAACTCGCGAGAGAGAAAATTGTATTAGAGACAAAATGGCTTACTCTCTTGGTAGTAAGAATGATGAAAGTTGTACCAGAGCGTAAGTATTTTCTACCTCTTTGTACTTGAACGGGTGAATTCTTGATTATTGGAAATAATTGATTTTCTTTCTTTTCCCATACTAAATTCAAACGACTTACCGAATTGACTACCAAGAAAACAACGCCAATTCTTGGCCAAGTCACTATTCTGACTATCTCCCAAAATTGCACTATGTCTGGAAATCTAGGGGCTCAACCTCCAAATGTTAGCTAAGAGTGTTACAAATAAACTTTTGTATGGCGGCAACTCTGGGAAATGTTGTTTAGAGGTCGCCCCGACGAGATTTTTTTTAGAAAGTCCATTTTTCATAGCTATTATCCAATAAATATTTTTAGTTCTTTAAATTTCAGTAAAATCTCACCTTTTTATATTTTTCGCAGATTCCCAAGGGTCAAAACTATAAGAGAAAATTTGTTAGTTACAATGTTTCAAATTCTCTAAAATGATGTTTTTTGTTGTACATCACTGCATTCAATCATCAAAAGTGGGTATCGAACATAGC